AGTACACCATCAGTACAAATCAATACTTGCTATATAGTAAGATAAAACAAGTCCTTCAAAACTGAAATTTAATTTCATTTAAACATACGAGGTTCATCCGCTACATTTTATTACACAGCGAGCGAATGAAACCTCTTCAGGTGACCATAAAAGTCTCAGAAAATGCCTACAGAAAAACTTACTTTCTTTAAACTAATAGCCTCCGAAGCAATTGAAAAAACGCTAATAGGAAAACATTAATTCTTCATTTTATATCACATATGGATAAATCTCGATTCTTCTACATGAGGGTCTTCTTTGTACTGCTGGTAGGCCCGGATACACTCAGCCATGGTTTTTGATGCACGAGTAACTGAATTTGTCATCCAAAAGTCACCCAATTCGAGCAATCTGGGCTTCAGCAATACATTCACGTTTGCAGGCTGAAATTCGAAAAACAGTAATAGCAAGTGAACCGAAAGCTCCTGATATAAAACATTGAAAATCTGAAAGACGACTAATTACCTCAGCCAGTTTTAGTGCTTGTTCTTGGAACGAGCACTCCTCAACGCTGCCGATCCGAATAAGGTGAGGCGCAATCTGCAAATTTTCACGCAAAATATCGTAGACTGAAGAACAAAAAAAAAAAATTCTTGAAAACTTTATGTAACGCAAGGCCCGTTTGTACCTAACATGCAAAGCCAATTCTTCCACTTTTCGCACTAAGGCAGCACTCAAAACGCTCAAATGTGACAAAAAGTAATAATAACAATAATAATAAATGGCTCACTAAACAAAATGGACCCAGTGAGGCTGATTTTGGCGCTGTATGAAGTATGTTCACAAATGAAAAGAGAGACAATTAACCTCAAACATTCGTGCTCTCATTTGAGTGAGATCACTGTACGGCAAAGTTTTCCCCGCAACTTCGCTGATGGCACGTATTATTTTCCAGTCTACTCTGGCTTCTCCTGGCGGAGTTATTGCTGCATAAGCCTGTAAGAACCTGGTGCTGGAAAGATGAAATACGACCAAATGAGAATCTCGGTTCAAATATTTCCAACGGGAAACTCACGGCAGAAACAACATCTGCATAGCCAGTATAACTGCGTTATGCCAAGAAATAAATTAAAATTTTGATAAAGAACTAGCCCTTTG